GGGATGTCCAGCGGCAGAGATCCTCCTGTCCCAAAACCACTGCTTGCCCCTCGCAGGACAGTGACCGATGGCTCGCAAGGCCAAACAGCCAGGGCTGTGCTCTGTACTGGTGTGTGGTGCCCTACTTTCCAGGCAGCAGGAACACAGGGAAAGCCGTGTGAGGCGGGAGCTGGCTTTGCACACCCTGCTCTGCCAGTGCCGGAGCACAGGCAGCTCTACCCAACACTGCCTGCCCGGCTGGTTCTGCCTGTCCAGCCTCTGCCCCAGCTCCCGGGAACAGGACAGCAGCAGAACGGGAGGGATGGCTAGCCACAGCTCGGGGAGAGCAAGGAACACAGGCTCCAGTGTGTCTCACCCCAGACCACGGGCTGATAACCAAGAGGGAACACCCCAAAACCAGCTGCCAGGCCAGGGCACTGCAGCAGAGCCTGCCCAGGTTCTGAGTGTCCACTCCCCAGGAAAGACCAGCAGGCCCCTGGAGACACATGAAGAAAAGGGGGCATGGAGGCATTTTAAGCAGCAGCCTCTGAAAACTAGCAGGAAAATGGAGAACAAAGTTCTGAAATGGCTTATTTTTAGTGTAAAGGACACAAGCTGGAGAACGCCCTGCCTTATCTTTAGAGTGGGACAGGGAGAGACATGGCGCTGGCACGCAGATGGAGCCCATGCTGACCTAGGCAGGGACACGCTGTCCCGTGTCTCAGGTGACGGGACAGGTGAGCTGCTTCCCACTGCCCTGGCACTCGTGGCACAGGAGGGCTGGTGACGAGCCCTGCTGCAGGGAGCCAGGCATGTTCCTGTACTCATCTGCACGTGGTGTCTGCAGGTCACCCTAGCATCCTCCCCGTCCAGCCCACTCCTACGAAAATCCACCCGTGGGAATGGCAGCGAGGATGCTGAGCAGCACGGGGGTGGCTTCCCCGCCCCGCCTCCACGGGCACACCATCCAGGCTCCGGAGCAGGGAGCCCTGGGGCAGCCCTCTTTTGGAGAGGGGCCAGGAGAGCCGGCATTGCCCCGCGGGGCCCGGGCACGCACCCCATTCCTCACATCCTGCCCGTCGGGGAGCTCTGACGGCATCCCCGGGGAGGGACGGCATCCCCTCGGAGGGACGGCATGCCCGGCCGGCCCTGACTCATGCGGCAGCCAGCGCGCTGTATCAATTAGCGCAATAACAGGGAGGCAGGATGAGTCCCGGCGGGACGAGGGGCCCGGCAGCGGCTGTGCGGGTCCCCAGGCGGGGCTGGCACCGGCCAGGCCCGGCACCAAGGTCAAAGCCGGGAACAAAGCAGCTGGGATCAGCGCCCAGCAACCTGCCGGCCCGGTCCCTGCGGGAACAGCGGGGCTCAGGGAAAGCCTGGGGGGCAGCGGGACCCCCATGCCTGGGCAGGCTCAGCCTGAGCTTCTCCCTGCCAAAAGGGAATGCTGCTAAGCCAGGCCTGGGTGTCCGGGGATGAAAGCTGGACAGCGGCAGGGAGCTGGGCCTTCCCGCCAGGCTGACGTTCCAGGGAGGCTGGAGCTGGGCCGCACGGGGATCCCGGGGAGCTGGCAGAGGGTAGGGCAGAGCGGATGGTGGGAAGGACGCAGGATGCAGGGATGCTCACGGGAACGAGGATGCAGAGCCCGGGATGCAGGGAGGGATTTAAGAGTGCGCGCAGAGAGGAGGAGGAGGACGGGGCAAGGGCGCAGGAGGGACTGCAGGATGCTCCCGGTCTTGGGGGAAGCGGGACCCCTGCGCAGGGGCACAGGGAGGAGGACTTAGCGGGGCTGGGATGAACACAGATGAGCCGAACAGAGGTGCAGGGGGAATTTGAGAGTGCAGGCGCAGAGACACCGGGTGCTGACGGAAGAGGACAGGGACAGGGACAAGGGCTGGGGGGGAACAAGGTCAAGGGCACGGGGGGATCGCGGAGCCGATGGGGCGGGCAGGCGGGGATGAGGGGAAGGGGGGCCAGAGGACTCACCGCGGATGTCGTGGGCCAGGGCCCGCCATGTGGGCGCGAAGTGGATGCAGTGCCCGCACCAGGAGGCGAAGAACTCGACGGCCCAGGCGCTGCTGGAGCCCAGCAGCCGCCCCTCCGCCTCCGGCCCCAGCAGCTCCAGGGGGTCAGAGGCCGAGTAGAGGCGGCCGGGCCGCGCCGCGGGCACCCGGAGCAGCAGGAAAAGCAGCAGGAGCGGCGGGAGAGCCGCCGGGCCCCCGCGGCCCCCGGCCCGGGCGGGGCCGGGGCGGGGCCCGCGCGGGGAAGCCCCTCACGGGCAGCGGCACGAGCGCGCTCCCTCAGCCCCGGCCCCGCTAGGCCGCCAGCCCCCTCACACCGCGGGGAGGCGCTTCCCTGCTCACCCCCACCCCGCGCTGCCCTTCCGTGAGGGGACAAACGGCATAAAATACAATTCTGATAAAGGGAGGTGGAGCAGGCGTGGTCCCTGGGGGTGTTTAAGGGAAGAGCGGACTGAGCGCCGCAGTCTGAGTGTCAGGGCCACAGGCTGGACTCGGTGATTTAGGTCTTTTCCAACCTGAATGAATGCGTGATTCTGCAGTGGTGAAGGCAGCTGATTCAGCCCCAAAAGGCACGTTGTCGCCATCGTGGGCACCCCGGGGCAGCGCCCTGGCCAGATGCCCTGACATCAGCCAGCGTCACTGGGCAGCACCTGGACACCCTGTGGAATGGGCACCCTGCAGACATCCCTGCCCTCTCCCCAGCCTGCCAGGGATGCTCAGCCAGGACACCCACAAAATCCAGCTCTACATCTAAAAAAAAAAGCAGCCTTCTACCCCCAGTGGCCCCTTCAATGGAATGTCTTCAAACTGAGAGTTAGATATTAGGAAAAAAAAATAAATCTTCCCTGTAAGGGCGGTGAGGCCCTGGCACAGGTTGCCCAGAGAAGCTGTGGATGCCCCATCCTTGGAAATGTCAGGGCCAGGCTGGATGGAACTTGAAGCAACCCTAGTGGAGGGGTTGGCAGGATGATGGAACTAGATGCTTTTGAAAGATGCTTTCCAAGCCAGGCCATTCCAGGGCTCTGTGATTCCACCCTCCCGGGCAGCCCAAGCCGTGCCTTCGCTCACGCACGCACACACGTCACCGCTCCCAGACCCAGACGGAAGGTGCCCGTTGCTCAGTGCCCCGGGGCAGAGCCAGCCACTGCCAGGCTGGACACAGCCCCAAAATCCAGTTCTCCGCTCCCTCCCCAGCCCCTGAGGCCAGGGAACCTCCGGCAATGGGGGTGCTCATGGCTGCTGAGGGCTTGTTGCTGGCTCTGTCCCCAGGAAGGCCATTATCCATGCTGGGCCCCACCTAGGCATTTCAGGCGGACTTGCCATGCTAGAAAAACAAGCCTGCCAGAGCCCAGGCTCGCAGAGGCAGTGGAGGGCAGGGGCTCCACACGGGGCACAGCTCCAGGAAAGGACAGGGCTCCCTGACACAGGCTGTCCTGGGAGGATGGAGCATGGTGGGCACGACCCGTGGGATTGCTCCCACCCATCTTCTGTGGGTCCAGGCTGATGGGAATGGGGCCGAAGATGGTCTGCTCCAGCCCTGTCAGCTGTAATTAAGTCCTTAAGGGATTATCACGCCTCACTGTCTAACCAGGAGGCAGAGAGACACAGCCTAGCCTGTGCAGGGCTGTTCTGAAAGGTGGTACCTCACTACTGACAGAGACTTTGCCAGGACTTGTCCTCGTCCAGCTGGTGATTAAAACACAGAAATCCCCATGTCCAGGGAGATCACCACCGTTATCTTCCCCCTAGGTTAAAGCCTTATTTTAAGGGCTCATCAGCTTGATTGGGTTATCAAGGCAAAGGAGAGGTGCTCAGTGCCTGTATAATTGCCAGCATTCTCCCCATCCAGCTCACCTCTTCCTCTTTCAAATTCCTTGAATCCTTTTTTTAGATGCAAAAGCAAGGTGGAGAGGCAAGAGCCCACAGCCCGGGGCTCCGGCTCCTTTGGAGGTGAGCCATGCCATTGCTCATCCCCCGGAGCCCTGGGGTGGGGATGCTCCTGCTTCCTGCTGCCCCGGGAGCAGCTGGGCTGCTACCCACCACCCTACTGCCCAGCTGGCACGTCCCATCCCCAGGTAACAGCCTCCTGCAGCAGCAGGGTGTGGAGTTTTCCAGGCACAGACTTGCTCAAAAATCCTTTTTTTCCCTTTGAATGGTGCTGCAAAGCAGGAAATGAGGCTTTTCTTCCACCTCAGAATGGGAAGAGACACATTTTCATTGCAGAACACCTTGACACAGGGCATGGGAAGCCAAAGATGAAGCAGAGGCTTTGAAACAACTCTTTTCAAGTTGGATTTGAAAGCAACTAAGATGAAATAATAGCAGTCAAGAACCAGTAGAAGGCTTCGGAGGTTTTAGAAATGCCCTCCCAGTACTCTGCCTTTTTGTCGTCTCTGGATGCAACAGAACCTGCAGGTAGCAAAACCAGGACACAGGTGCTGGATGATGCTGGATGCCCACCTGCTGAGCCCCAGCCAGCCCTAAAAGGCCAGCTTTAGGCTCCCACTGCACATTTAGGAACCTGCTTGGTTTTCCCAGCAAAGCCTTCCGTGCCTACCTCAGCATCCTTAACTCTGGGGAGAGTTGTGCTTCACTCCATAGCAAGGCCATGGGATGACCACAGAAATTCCTGTGCTGCACAATCTCTGTGCAGCAGCTGAGCAGTGGCTTTAGTTCATTAAGCTCTGAAATCTCCTTTCCCAGACTAACACTCAGCAGGAATCTCCTTGAAGTCAGTGAGGCGTGGGCAACATCAACAGGCTGAGAACCTCAAAAGGCGGCCACAGTCTCACCAAAATAATTTAAGCCCTGCAGAACTTGTTTCGTGCACCTAAAATGGATCATTTTCAGACACAAAGCCACTCAGATCACCTCTGTGCTGAGTTAGAGAGGAATCAAGGAAAGAGTGGTTAGATTTTATGTGTTCAGTCCTTGAATTGATGGAAAACACTACTTTTCAGAAAATGGAGAAAGGCTTTTATTGTCCATTTTTAAAAGCATGAATCTGTCTATGAAAGGTTCTGAATGGCCAGGAGAGCAGACCCAGGACCTCCTCATTCCCCTTTAGTTGTGAAGGTTCAGGGCCACAGGGAGATCCCAAAATGGACTTTCTTCCTTGAAAATTATAGAACACGTTCCTACCTAATTGTGTGATTCCAGGAACTGACTCCAAGGAAAACACGCAACCAATGCAAGACTCATGATACAATCACGGCAACCCCGTCACTGGCATTTCGGAGCCTGCTCAGAGAGGTTTGCATCCAACTCCCCTGCAAGCACCTTGGAGGAAGCTCAGCAGTTTTCCTTTCTCCAGACTTCACAAGATGATGAACTCAAGGAAGTCCTCTTTGATCTGCAGCACAGCACTGCTTAAAGCGTGGTCCTTCTGTGAATAAAGAAAAACCCTCACTTCCCTCACAGAGCAAGGGGAAATTGTGCCACCTCCCTGACATTCCAATCCACGTGGCACTTTTTTCTTTGTGGCACATGTCACACCTCAGCTGAGATACGGCTTCAGACAAGACCTCTGGCAGCACCTGTGCCACAAACCTGCCAGCTTTGCTGAGACACCCGGAGGGGATGTGAATCCTGACTGCTTCCCACACTCTGCAGTGGCTCTGCCAGGCTGACACCTGTCAGACCAGGATGGCCCCTCAAAGCCCCCCTGGCAGCTGGGAATTGCTGGCTCCACAACACAGGCTTGGTTGGAAATCGTTGATTTCTACCTTTCAAGCCCAACCAGCCTGTAATAACAAGAGGCACAAAAGCAAATCTGGGGTGCATTCTCAGGATGTGATGAATGTGTTCACATAGTTTGCATCTGCAGAGAGAATACAGCAGTACCAGCCTCCTGCTATTCAACCTCTTCTGATTCATCCCTGCTCCAAAGGACAGCAGCTATGCTGCCCTTCCCTTTTCAGAAGAACCCAGGGAGACCAGGAGGAACTGGCACTGTCATTGGTATGTCTGGGTAGGAAACGTTTTACCTGCAAATTTCAGATCTACTAACAGTCATAAATGATTACCATGACCCAGGCTGCACAGAGCAGATGTTTTCCAGTCCAGCTCATGTTCCCAGCTTTAAGAAGCAGATTGGAGGAGGCCACACCGCCCAGATTTGCCACATCATTATTTGGCAGGTGGTTTAATTGCAGCGCACGAAACTGAGAATACCACAGGGATGACAACGGAGCACTCCTCTCTTGTTCTGACAGTAGTCCTGCAACGTAAGCAAGGTCTCACCTTCCAAGGACTGCTGTGCCCCATCACAGGTACACTGAGCAGTGCTGGCTCCATCAGTCCTTGGAGCAACACAGCCAGACACAGACACTGGACCAGGCTCCTTGCTGGGCTCTCCAAGCCAAGCCACGTGAGCAGTGGGATCCCCTGCAGCCTCCTTTAGTTTGCTGGAATAAAATCAAATCATAGCTGTGACACCCCCCGGAAGTGGCGTTACTTCCACCTCCAGCAAATTCTCAGACAAAATCTGAGTTTGAGTCAGTCTAGACTGACTGCAAGAGGAAGCCACTGGAAACCCACATCAGGGAGGGAACGCAGCCCAAGGGACACAGCAGGTCTTGTACAGGTGGAGCAAAGGGCTGGAAAACTGGGGCCAAGAGAAACATTCAGAGCAGGAATTAACCACCTGCTCCAGGCCATCAGAACTCTTGGCAGGCAAAAGAAGGGATCTGTACTCCAGGAGTCTCCTCTAAGCCCCTGAACCTGCCCAACCATCACCCTCCTGAACAGAGCTACTCTATTCTCCTCCTTTTCCCCAAATTTCTGCAGGACCTTATTCAGGAGGAGGCAGGAAGGTACAGGGCTGGGGCTAGGGGTTTTGTTTGCTTCAGTTTCCAGGTCTCACAGGGTGCCTTTCTCTCTCCCACAGACTGACATCCCAGAGAGTGCCCTACACTTTCAAACTCCATTACATCTCATCTGCATTCCTGCCAGGCAGTGGCCCATGCTCTGGGCTGGGTGCCAGCAGCTGGGCAGCCCCCCTCCTCTCCTTCCTGCACTGTGAAGAGCTGCTGGTGTTCAGCAGCTCCCCACCAACTCCTTTTCTTCTTAATGAGAGCCTGGACATTGCAGAAGCCCTTGTGCTAGGCAGGGCACAGCACGCCTGGAGCAGAGTCAACATTTCAAGTACTCCAGTGCCCTGCCAGGCATTTTAGCACGTGGGATGGCTGCAGCTGGCACCACATCCCCAGGGAGGCACCTGGGAGTGGGGCTGTACCTGAGAAGGGAGGCACCAAACAGTCCCACTCAATCCAGGGTGCCATCAGGAAGGTGGCTGCTGGCCATTGCCCAACCCAGAAGTTTCACCAGGTCCACACGTGAAACAGCTGTTGAAGGGAACCATGCTCCAAGGATTCTGGGAAGAGTTGCACAAACACCACGGGTAGAAAGTCAGTGACAAAGTGAAGCAACGTAGACTTGCAAATGAGGAAATGAGAGCCTTCATCATGCTGATTGCTGGGTATCCTGGGCAAGGACAGCAGGAGCAATGCAGCACTTTGCTGCGTCACCCGCCGGAGCACCTTGGCAGCACTCCCACAGCTTGAGCCGTTTTTAAAGGAAGCCTCTTATTCAGGTTTTTTTGTCCAACATGAAATGCATGTCTGAGCCCCTTCCAGGGATGGATGCAAGTAGACAATTGTCAAAAAAACAGAACTCGTGGAGTAAAATCATTGCAGGGCAAGGAAAGGCACGGCACGGATACTCTTCTGCTGCTCACTAATGAGGACACAGAGGCTGCAGCACCACTTGGCCTCAGCCCTTTGGATGTCCAAGGACCCACCACTGTGTTTGGCTGGTTCAACTGCTGAGCTCAGAGGGCTGTGATGTCCTTCTGTCTGTCTGAGGGCTGTGATGTCCTCCTGAGGGCTGTGACGTCCTCCTGTCTGTCTGAGGGCTGTGATGGTGTTCCCAGCACGCTCCACTGAGGACAAGCCCTGTGGCACACCCGGACTGCAGCAAAGCTTCTTCCATAACAGAAGCCTGAATGCAGCAAATCCTCCTCCAGGATGAGGTAGCTCTGCTGAGGAAAAGCAAAGAACAAATAACTGTTCACACATAGCTCACACAGGTCCCCCCCATTTAATGCAAACCTCCCTCCCAGGCAGGTGAGGAGCTGACAGTCACACAGTGTCCTCCAAGCTGGAAAGACCAATGCTGGGTTTTGTACAGGGTCTGCAGTAAATGGAAAGCAAAGCCTTTTCTGCTGGGCTGTACATTAATAATAAAAGGCACCAAAACAGGTGACCACAGGCACTGAGGAGGCTCAATAAACATCTGTGCTCCCTGGCTCACACCTTCATGCTGCCACTCCATCACCACCTGCCCACACCTGTGGTTTGGCACTGCAAGTGCTTGGCTGTCCTCTTACAGAGCTCCAGGACCTTTCATGTGTTAAAGTGACTTGGTTCTTCTCTTGTCCTGGAAAGAAAACAGCAAAGATTTAGAAAAGTTCCACCAACAGGGAGCAATACTTGTCCCTTGGTGAGAAAGGGATTGGTGCTGCTAACAGCAGCTCTACAGAGCTGCATCAATTTAGGAATACAAACCAAGACTGAGGTTCGGAAGAATTTAATTCCAAAACTGTTGTTTAACATAAGAATGTTTTAAGCCATGAGCTTTTAAAACATATTTTAAATAAATATGTGCAAGGAGTAGTTTTTCTCCCACAGTGAACTCCTGCAATGATTGCTCAATGCTATTTTCTGGTGTTATCAACAGTCAGCTTTAACAATAAGGAAATTCTAATAAAGTTATGGTTATAATTAAGGCAACTCTAATGGGATTTTGTAGACTGTGATTGGCATCCCAAGTACAGCATCAGACAGAAAGGGGAACGTTCAAGGGACAAATCTCCAGGACACCATCAGAATTAGCAACTGCTTGGGTAATTAGAAAGCTCCATTTTATAAAATGCAGGAAACAAGATTAATTTATAAATCAGTTTATTTACAGAATTTGTTCTCTTAAAGTACATTTCAGTTACCAAAGATATTTACACTGGTGTACACAGGGACCATCCTGGTTATTTTACAGTTCTTAATTACAAAAAAACCTCCCCAACCCCTCCACATCCTTGCATCTGTCTACTGTGCAAAGCTGCTGTGGATGTGAACATGAGCTGAAACTGGCCCAAACCCCAAATTACCAGGTTATTTACACATACACAGTAAATGGGTTTCTTTTCAGCATCTCCACAAACACAGTACACAGGGAGACTGAGCCTCCCAAAAGGGGGCTTTGCAAATGTGTATCAAAAGGCTCTGCAAAATCAAGGAAAAAAAACCCTAGTAAATGCAGGTTAATTACAGTATTCCTTTTTCATCTGAATATAATTTTGCATTTAACACTTAAATTACAAATAAGTTCAATAGTTTGCTTTTCTCCATTTTAGTTGGTTTGTAAACACTTCAGATGCACTAAATACCTTGTAAGATTCAACTGCTTGTCTGCTGAAAAGTACTTTGTTTTCCTAATATTCTTAAGGTAGCAAAGAGATATGAAAGTTGGAACTGCACACAGTTCCTCGCAGAATAGTCACTTAAAAGGTCTCTGTCACTGTGCTACTTCTGCAGGTACACACTTATTCAAGTATTGCAAAAAGCTAAGGCCACTTTTTCAAGAAAGGAAAAGGAACAAGATGGGATTTTTCAATCCCTCATTCCACCTTGCGAGCAACAAGCCTTCTCTGAAAGGCAGAAGTACTGATATTCCAGGGCTTGGCTCACAGAGCATCCTGCTGTCACAGAGGTGCTCACACTCTGTGCTCCCACAAGCCTGGGCTTTCCCACCTGGCTCTGAGATCCTTCCCAAGATGGAGCAGCATGTCCCCAGTGATGGCAGCTGCTGCCCCAAACAACTCGGGGGTCTCAGCAAAATGTCCCAGCCTTGAATCTTCTTATGTGGTTGCACCGAGATAAGCAGGATGCAGAAATATCTTGCTCTTACAGAGGGAAGGTTGGGGAGAGAAGCAGAGAATTCAGCCTGTTTGTGGGACCCCAGGCTTCCCCATATCTCCTCACTAGCAGCCTGACCCAGCCTGACCCTTGCTTCATCGCAGTAATCATCAGTCCACAAGTACTCAACCCACTTGAGGTTTTGAACATACACTCAACTCAAAGCAACTCAACACATGTGAGGTATTGAGAAGGTAATTCACGTACGTTCAAGTCATTTTAGGGTTGCTCCTAGCAAGGATTGCTACCAAAAATAAATCAGTGATGTCAAAGGAACAAAGCCATTACTTAGACACAGCTTCCTTCTGTCCAAACACCTGTTAAAAACAGTTAGTGCTTCTGTGGAGGGTACTACAGCCAAAAGACAACAGGCACATGATCTCCAAAAGGCCCCCATGCCCTGTCAGGCCTGACTGCACAACCTCCCCACTCCTGCTGGACAGACCAGAAACACCCCATGAGCCCCACAGAACAGCAAAAAGCCCTGGGGATGCAGGACAACCTTCTCAACATTGGCCACAGAATCTACAGAACAGAACCTGACCTGATGCTCCAGGTACAAACCGACTCTGCAGGTTTCTGTCCTCTTTCCATAATTGCTGCCTATAAAAATAGCAATCCTTGCTATTGAAAGAGATACACCCAGGAAAGGGAATCTGAGGTGGTGACCCAATCAGTGACACCATGCTCGTTAAATCTAGCAGCTTTAGTTTGCTTCTGTCTTAAGCATCCAAGGGTTTCCTGGTTCAGCATCATGACATTTTACATGAACAAATTAATCACTTGAGGAAAAAAAGCTGAACAATGCTCCACCAAGACCATTTGACCTCCAGCCAGCCAAAAGGCCCACTACTGAGGGACACACATGCATATGTCCACTGGAGGTGTCCCTATCCACTATAACCTCCTCCTTGTTCTTCCACTCACAGAGCTCCCATGGATATGGCTCACCACTAACTCATAAGTGAGGTGCTGGCAACACTACATCTGAGAATCTGTATGGACCTCTGGCAAATCCAACATTTCCCAGTGCTGTCCCTGAAGAATTACCAGCTGTGTGTCATTGTGCAAAATGCAAATATTCCAATGATAGCTTTCAAAAAATCCCAAACAATAAACAACCCAACCAAAAAAAAAAAAAAGGTGGAAAAGGGAAACCAAACTGGAGCAGTAGAAGAGGTATGCCCAGCAGGAAGCCCAAGAACCAAGCAGATGAATGAAACAGTTGAGATGCCCCCTGCCATGCCTGTTGTGGGCTGCAGCATCTTTGGGGCACCTCTGAGGGCTTCCAAGTGTCTGTCTATACTCCAGTGCCTGGAGAATCTGACTTTCCTCTGGGTCTTGTCCCAGGTTAGCAAACAGAGACATCCACTATTAAGGCATCAACGTTTGACCCCAGATTTTCCATGTTCCTCCAAGAAAAACACAAGAACAGGAAGAACAGGTCAGGAACCAGCACTCAGCAGAACAACACTGCAGATGAATCCAGCCAAATCAACCAAAATCAACCACATAACATGGTGCAGAAGTTCTGGGAAAGGAAGGCAACAGAAAGAGCTGGGAATTTTCACACAATTTTTCAGCTCAGCCCCCTCAGCTCTCCATTGTCTCTGAACCAAGTGCTTTGGTTTTCAAGCTCCATTCCTAGACCTGTCTTTGCATCCCAGCCTTGGTCACTGAAGTTTGGCTGTTCCTACCTTCACCCCCTCGTATCTGTCTCATGAAGCTGGAGGTTTTGTGCGAAGAATACGGGGCTCTGGAAGTTTCCAAGCCAGATGCTCTCTCAAGTTCGTCTGTCTCAAAACACAAGACAGTGCAGCCAACTGCACAGGACTCTCTCCTGTAATCCACTTAATAAATTATCTGAAAATAAATAAAAAACCCACAAGCACAAAACATGCAGACCAGTCAAGCACCAGACACCGCTTTCTTTGGTGAATACACTCTGTTCTCTAAATTGTTCAAGTAACAGCTTCTCCAATTTCATTAGGTGACAGTAAGGGAGAAAGCTGAGGGATTGAAGGCCAAATTTTTGTGAGGAAATGTTTTCCACTCCTGCATGTCTCGTGCCTGAGAAAATCCTGAGTATCCATTATCTGGGAGCAGCTGGTGCTCCAGGAAGAGAAGTGCTACACGGTAGGAGCAAAGTTGTCCACGGGCTCATCTTTCACGCTTGACATTAGGCAGGCTTTATCTTGCTCTGCCTCAGAGCAAAGCAGCAAGAATTCTTTACTTGTAGGCAGGAAGAAACATGATCTAATTTCCCTGGACTGGACTGGCACCATGCTCAGTACCACATCACAGAAGAAAGATGAAAACCAGCTTCACGGAGAAGTGAATTAAATAGGCTCTGAAGCAGAAGGAACTGATGCACATTGTTAGGACTGCAGGAGAAGACGTGTTAAGATTGTAACACTGTTCAGTATGGTAAGTCTCTGTTTATGACCAAAACCTGACCAAAATGTTACTTCTCAGAATTACTCACATTTCTAAAGACAAGTTGAGTACTGATGGCTGACCACCATTCCAGCAAAACAGCCACTACCCCAACTTAACCCAACCCTTTCAGGGAACAAGCCAAACATGTCAAAGCCCCGAGCCGGGGCCCCAGGCAGCTGCTGACAGTTATGTGACATAACTGCATTGGCACATGAACAGTCTTGAGCACTCCTCAAAGCAACCTCAAGCGAGGGATCAGCTTGTTCCAAACAATAAATCTGGTGCGAGGTCTTGGCAGCCAGTTCAGGTTCTTTTCATCCCATCTGAACTGCCTGGGAACCCCACGCGTGGAAGTCCAGCCGCAGCGCGTGCAGGGAGGAGAGCAGGTCAGGAGTCAGAGAGGCCTGTGACTCCGTGGTTGGCAGCTCTGAGCTCACTTCAGCACTGTCAGACAAGCAGCAGCCTCCGCTGTTTCTCATTTATCTGGTTCAGTACATCAAGAGTGTCTCTGATTAAGGCCTCGAAGATCCCATCTGCCAACTGCATCTTGACACACAGCTCATCCTCGTCGTAGTTCACCCACTGCGCTTCTTCCTCGTGGAGTTCCTGCACCTTGGAGGGGAGAAAAGCAATAGAAACATTACAATTCTGTTGCTTTAAAATAATATTGCCTGCAAAGTTCCAGAAAGAATCCAAAGCAGAGTCTGTCTGTCAACAACATATCTGTCTTTGTAAGAGATTACAGGAAACGCTTGGAATAGCAAAACAAACAGATCTGTTTGAACCAGCCTATTTCAGTGTATGAATGTTTTCTACTTTTCACTGCAGCACCATCCATTTTAAAAGCTTTCATATTCCTGCACAAGTTTTTCACTTGAAAGAACTCAGCTAATGGGATAGTCTTGACCAACAGCCGAAGCTCTATTAATTAATTAGTCCCTGATTATGTTTTTGCAAGAAGCTGATTCCTTGTGGCTTGAACTGGTAAGAAGTAATGGAACGGCCTTGAACAGGACAAGGGGAAAAAG